GCGGTATACTGAGCTTTGGGCAACGGGAGGATGCTAGTTTTTGTCCTCCCGTTGCCCTTCTGAGAACTATGGGGAAAAGCCCTAACCCCATAGTTCTCCTTTAAATATTAGTCAAAGATAACACAACATGAGGTTTTTAAAAAAAAGGAAGGTTTTTATTATTAAGGGAAAACAAAATCCAAACCCACATGGCCCTGTGTGAAAAAGGGTTTGCCCCCTAAACCAAATAACTGGTTAGGCCACCCTTAGCAGCAAGACCTGCAATCAAGCGTTTGCGATAACTTGCAGTGAGTCTGTTACAGCGCTGTGCAGAAATTTTGGTCCACTCATCTTTGCAGAATTGTTGTAATTCAGCCATATTGGAAGGTTTTCGAGCATGAACCGCCTTTTTAAAGGTCATGCCACAGCATCTCAGTGGGATTAATGTCAGGACTTTGACTAGGCCACTCCAAAGTCTTCATTTTGTTTTTCTTCAGCCATTCAGAGGTGGACTTGCTGGTGTGTTTTGGATCATTGTCCTGCTGCATAACCCAAGCTCGCTTCAGCTTGAGGTCACAAACAGATGGCCGCACATTACCCTCCAGGATTTTTTGGTAGACAGCAGAATTCATGGTTCCATTTATCACAGCAAGTCTTCCAGGTCCTGAAGCAGCAAAACAGCCCCTGACCATCACCACCATATTTTACTGTTTGGTATGATGCTCTTTTTCTGAAATGCGGTGTTACTCTACGCCAGATGTAATGGGACACACACCTTCCAAAAAGTTCAACTTTTGTCTCGTCAGTACACAGAGTATTTTCCCAAAAGTCTTGGGGATCATCAAGATTTTTTCTGGCATAACGGAGACAAGCTTTTAGGTTCTTTTTGCTCAGCAGCGGTTTTCGTCTTGGAACTCTGCCATGCAGGTATTTGCCCAGTCTCTTTCTTATGGTGGAGTCATGAACACTGACCTGAACTGAGGCAAGTGAGGCCTGCAGTTCTTTGGATGTCATTGTGTGGTCTTTTGTGACCTCTTGGATGAGTCATCGCTGCGCTCTTGCGGTAAATTTTGGTTGGCCGCCCAATCATGGGAAGGTTCACCACTGTTCCATGTTTTCGCCATTTGTGGATAATGGCTCTCACTGTGGTTCGCTGGAGTCCCAAAGCTTTAGAAATGGCTTTATAACCTTTTCCAGACTGATAGATCTCAATTACTTTCTTTCTCATTTGTTCCTGGATTTCTTTGGATCTCGGCATGATGTGTAGCTTTTGAGGATCTTTTGGTTTACTTCACTTTGTCAGTCAAGTCTTATTTAAGTGATTTCTTGATTGCGAACAGGTATGGCTAGAGAAATTGAACTCAAGCGTGTTAAGCTAGTTAAGTTATGTTTTAACACTTTTTCAAACAGGGCCATGTGGGTTTGGATTTTGTTTTCCCTTAATAAAAACGGCATGTTGTGTTTACTTGTGTTATCTTTGACTAATATTTCAATTTGTTTGATGATCTGAAACATTAAAGTGTGACAAATGTGCAAAACAATGAACAATGGGGGCCAACACTTTTTCACACAACTGTATGAAAATGTATAGAAGATAAAAAAAAGGTATTGAACTATTTAAAACACAATGAACCACACTCACATTCTATTCATTAAACCCGGTCTTTCAGGATCTTAGAAATTGCCCCAGCTAGTTTACACCAAACATTGTTTAGAACAAGTAGTACACATATAAACAGTAGGTGAGAGAGTTTTACTTATGTAATGTAACCTCACAAACATTTTTCATTGAAGGTTAAACTCCACATAAAACTTCAGCTTGCTATTCTGGTGGAAAACCAGACTAAAGCAGTTTATATTATAGAATGCTATTTCTCAAGTGCCGTGATATTGTTTGCTTAGAACCTCTGAAATCTGCCAAGTAACAGGCACGTCACATTTTTTAATTATAAACCAAATGGAATATAATGTATATATTTATATTACGGAAGGTTTAATATAAGGATGCACGGATACCAAAAATCCGTGGTCAGGAAGCAAGACTGCCTTGCAGTGTCACTAGAGAGCATGAAGCCGATTTTTTTAGCCAATCAGGAAGTTGGGAGGCAGGTCATGATTTGCCACCCAGCTTTCTGTTGGTCAAGAAGCCAGGCTTCCTAGCAAAAAGTTAAAGCCGGCTTCTTAGCCAATCAGAAGTTGAGAGGCGGGTCATGACCCACTGCCCAATTTTCTGATTGGCCGGGAAGCCGGCTCCATGCTCCCTCGTGGCACTGCCAGTCAGAAGGAGTACTCTGTATCGGTGCATTACTAGTTTAATAAATTGTTGTAGAATGAATGGCATGCTGAAAGATGAAGAGCATGGTACAAGGAAGAGTGGGTCACATGACCATCCTTGGTCTCTTTCACCCTGCTCTGCACTCTTGTGGGAGGAGCCAGCATGTCATTGCAATAATGCCCACTGCAACAGTGATTGACATTTTGCAGACATTATGACAGGCGCAGCCTTGCCTAAATGTGAACAGTACAAGACATAAACAACATCTTGTTGGCTAACGTGTGTTTGTAAGCCAGATCACACTGCCCAAGCACAAGTCACTCCTTACTGCTGCTGTACAAGTGAATGACACACCATGCATTAGGTTCAGTTCACAAAGCTAACATACTAGAAGATAGATACATAGCTACAGAAAAAAAAGTAAGATCCGGAAAATACAGCCACATGACTTGTGTTAAAGTTTTATGAATTGAGTCTATTATCACCTAATACAATAAAGTACACAGCAAGTCAGTTGTCATGAATAAGAAACAACACTGCGTTTACACATAGTGAGCAATACAACAACCTACAGTACAAGGTCAGTTGCAGAGTAGTTACTGAGTGCCGGGATTCAGTGTACACAGGGAGCAGTAGAAAGCGGCTCTCTGCATAACCCTTTCCCCTCCAGATGAAACAAGATGCTGCTTCATATCTTTGGATGACACTGCACAGACACTAAATCAGAGATACATATACATTCCAGAGTCCCATGTGCACAGGGAGGGACAGGGCTCTGCAGATAACGACCTAATCCAGATAAAACGTGCCCTTTGGAAGTTGTGTGCACCACACAGAATACATCAGTTATGACTGGCAACCCCTGCAGCCCAGGTAGCATGTCTATGGACAGTCAGTGGTACTTGTGGAAGACTTGACTTCACACAGACAGGAAGTATGCCTGCTATAATGCCCTTCTATAAAAATTCAGGAGGAACATGGTGGGGATAGGAGGAGAGTGGAGAAAATTAAAGAACAGCACAGCTTTCCACCAAACACCAGAAGCAGATAAAACAGAAAAAAGGGGGGGAGACTGGAGTTCGAATTATTGTCTTTGGTGCCCCTAGAACCCAATTTCTCCAATTTCACATACTAACGTTCCCTAGAAACATGACTTGGGGGAAATTGGCTGCAATGGGTGAGAGTGGTCACACACAGCACACTATCTGCAAGTTATGCTTCTGAATGTTTATTTCATCATCTACAGCACCTACAATACAATATTAGATAGAATGCTGAAACAGTCACACATGTCCCTGCTTCTGAAGAAGTTTAGAACTCATACAATAGGAGAAATACATCTAGCACCTGGAGGAAACCCATACAAAACAAAAGATAGGACATATAAACTATGCATACAATGTCTTTGGTGTAAATCAAACCTGGGACCCAAGCACCGGAAGACAAGGCTGCCAATTTCACTACATCAGGGGTAGGCAAACGTCAGCCCTCCAGCTGTGGTGAAACTACCAATCCCATCATGCATTTACCTGGGCTAGTGGTCAAGCCTGTGGCTGGCAGGGTCTTGCAATTCCTTATGGGATTTGTAGTTTCACCAGAGCTGGAGGGCTAAAGTTGGCCTACCCCTGCTCTACATCAGTGGTTCTCAACCTGTGGGTCGCGACCCCGTCGAGGGGCCGAATGACGATATGCCAGGGGTCGCCTAAAGACATCAACTCTCCCGGACGCTGCGGGAGTCTTCCAGCTGCCCGGGAGATAAACATTTTCCCCCGGAAAGGTTTACTCTGCTCGATCGGCCGCCATCAGTCAGGAAAAAAACAACAGCATAGGAATGCATAGCTAGATTCCTATTGGCTATTTCAATTTGCAATATCCAATAGCTAGTGCACCCGCCCACTGCTGCTGTCAATCAGCAGTGGGGGACCTGAAGTTCTCCATCAGGTCCTCTTCTATTGATTGACAGCAGAAGAGGGCAGGTGCAATAGCCAGCTTGCTATTGGATATTGCAAATTGAAATAGTCAATAGGAATCTAGCTATGCATTCCTATGCTGGGTTTTTTTTTGGTTTTTTTTTACTTTTGACTGACGGCAGCGGGCGACTCCGATGTCAGAAAAAAAAAAAAAAACAGAACAGGGAAAGGTTTACTCTGCTCGAATCGAGCAGAATAAACCTTTCCGGGAGAAAGGGTTTCTCTCCCGGGCGGCCGAGTGCCACTATCCAATAGCTAACGGTAGCAAAATGACAGCGATGAAGGAGCAACGAAAATAGTTATACTGTTAGGGGGTTGCCACAACTTGGGCAATTTGATCAAAGGGTCGCGGCACTAGAATGGTTGAGAACCGCTGCTCTACATGTTTCTTAAACCCACGAAGCAGTCTCTGTATCTGAACAATTCTTTTCCCATTCACTTTCCAACGTGGTGAAAACAAGAGCTTTCTCTAAGGAGAAAAGAAAGCAAGAGCATTTTAACTAGCCCACACTGGTGGTCAGGAGGAAGGGAATTGCAGGAGGTCCCAATACTTACCAGACACTTTGAAAGACAAGCTGACTTATGCCATGTACAATCACCCACAGGTTGATCTGCTTTTCTACATGATCAGTTGTGAAGCGTCATGTACCTTGGACAGAGATGCTCTAAGGATACATACAGAAAGAGCACTCTGATAGGCTGGAAGCTGACAAATTGGTGACATTGATAGGGAGGCGATTGAGGCCCGTATATTATTTACATTATGGAGCACTCACCTTAAGGTCCCGTTTTCTCCCTTATCGAGGCTTGTGAACCGGCTGTACAAACGGGTTATTTGGCTGTGAGAGACTAGAGAGAACAAGAAATACACACATTAGAACGTTACCTAAAGTAGAAAACTACTAAAAAGTATAAAGCTGAAGCTACAGGACCATACTAAAAAGAAAAACAAATCTCCAATATAAATGGCTATGGATAGCGGTGAAATGTAATCCGCGTCAAGACTAGTTAAAGCTCAAGTTTAATCTGCTTATATTTTGCCTATGCTGATCTGTGCTTCTCTATGCAATGCAAGTAGATCATAGCTGGTGAGAAGGGTTTATATTTTGCCTCCACTGACCTGTGCTTCTCTATGCAATGCAAGTAGATCATAGCTGTTGAGATGGGTTATATTTTGCCTACGCTGATCTGTGCTTCTCTATGCAATGCAAGTAGATCATAGCTGGTGAGATGGGTTATATTATGTCTACGCTGATCCGTGCTTCTCTATGCAATGCAAGTAGATCATAGCTGGTGAGATGGGTTTATATTTTGCCTCCACTGACCTGTGCTTCTCTATGCAATGCAAGTAGATCATAGCTGGTGAGATGGGTTTATATTTTGCCTACGCTGATCTGTACTTCTCTATGCAATGCAAGTAGATAATAGCTGGTGAGATGGGTTTATATTTTGCCTCCACTGACCCGTGCTTCTCTATGCAATGCAAGTAGATCATAGCTGGTGAGAAGGGTTTATATTTTGCCTACGCTGATCTGTACTTCTCTATGCAATGCAAGTAGATCATAGCTGGTGAGAAGGGTTTGAAAAGGTGCTGTGCATAGCTTTCGGGAAAACATGATAGCACCCTGCCTCAGTACTGCTCTCAGGAGCCCTCAGCCCTGATACAATTAGTAGGCTGGCTCTTGGGAGGAGTTATGTAAATAGGAAAATGCCTCGATGGGTGGGTGTCAGTCTGGAGGGTGTTTCTAGGTTGGGCTGCATTTTTATTCAGGCTGCCTTAAGCAAAGCCCACGTTTTCCGAGAATGAGTGGAATTCTAAACATGGAATGTGGTTTTCGCTCCTGAAATTCTATTCATTCCAAAATAGAGTATTAAAATCAAAAGGGAAATATTGAACGACAGTCGTCGGGTCTCTGAGCATGACGGAACGTTCCGATAGAAAAGTCAACCATTGTATGGCCAGCTCGCTGGCCCGTTAACCTAGCACCGTGGAGTGGTGTTAAACGCAGCGCACAGCCGCCAAGAGGTATGTTGGGGTGCCGTTACAATGACAGGCAACGCAGCTCACCTATCACACGGTACCACGTTAGGTGCACTGTACCATGAACACACGGTATCATGCGTTTAACTACCTCTCTGCCAAGGTGGTTTTTGCACACGCGTTATAATTCACATTTTAGGCCTGAAAAATCACTTAAAGGAGAACTATGGGGTCAGTGTTTTTTACCCCCCCCCGAGAGTTACACATTTCCAGCACAGACCTGGAGAATAAGACAGCAGCAGCTGCAAGTTATTATGTCGCAAGAGACAGATTATTATATACACATTTATTTTTAACTCTTTATTAAACCCAAAATGTTAGTTACAATTGCACTTCAGTTCATGTTAGCGCACAAAGCCACTATAATCCAGAATTTGTTTGTAAAATATGAAAGTGAAGGTTGTACCGCGTAAATAAATACCCAAATAAAAACCGCACGCGCCCGGGAAATGGTGACAAAATATGGTTCCCCAAAGTGTCCACAGGTGACGCTTTAATATCCTGTACAGTCATCCAGGAATATTGGCCCTAGAATGATTGCTCTCTCTGGCACACGTGATGATACCCAACATGTGTGGGTCCGGGTGCCCACAGTTGGATGCCCACGGATGTGCAGGTTCAGGTGTGTGTAACCGCGTATAACTGCATGTAGCCGTATCCTACTATAGGGAAGTCGAGGCTGCTGTGCTCAATTAAAATGGGTAATTTGTTGTGTTTTGGGGCATTTAATTAAATTTGTCACTAAATTTTGGGGTTTAATAAGGAGTTGCGCTAATATTGCGCAACATAAAAATTTTCAACTACCACCATTTTATTCTATAGGGTCTTGGCATTCAGAAAATATATAATGTTGGGGGGGTTTTACGTCATTTTCAGGCCTAAAATGTGGAATATAACATGGGTGCAAAAAATGAAAAAAGGGCCTCAGTCATGAAGGGGTTAAATAATCAGAAACCAATACAGGAGACAAAGAGAACCTGTCACAATAAGGATCTGTAACAGATGCCCAAATCCAGAAATGAACATAGAAAAAAAATATTATAAAGCAATATAAAACACGACTCGTTACATGTACAAAGAAAGACAAGTTAATGAGCTGTGTTATTCCACACCGAGACATGGGAAGAACTCTGGGCAGAACAAACATTAATCCTTGGGGCTATCCCTACATGTAAGGGTTAACTGCTCCTTTCAGTCTTAAAAAAAAGAAGAGAAGAGGGGAAAGAAGAAGAGGTTATACTCACCCAAACCACTGAGCTGGCTGCCTGCTTCTCCGGTCTCTGAAGCCTCTCCTCCTACACTGCAGCACTGGAATGTTCCTTGGCATCCCCACATCTATACACAGTATAAAGAATGTGATAGTTTACGGGACCTCAGACCGCTGCAGAGGAGGGGGGAAGAGAGGCTGGAAGGACCGGTCTTAGAGCAAGCCAGCTCTGAGGATCAGGGGAGTAGAACTTTATCTTTTCTTTAAAAAGGGCAGTTAACCCCTTGAGGGTAGAGCCACCTGCAAGGGTTCGTACAAGTTTTGTCTGGAGTTGTTCTTTAATGGCTGTGGTCAGGGCAGATGACAATAATGGGAATATAAAAAAAACACACACACACACACACACACAACACACACCATGTACAGATACAAAACACACACACACCATGTACAGATACAAAACACACACACATGACACACACCATGTACAGATACAAAACACACACACATGACACACACCATGTACAGATACAAAACACACACACATGACACACACCATGTACAGATACAAAACACACACACATGACACACACCATGTACAGATACAAAACACACACACACATGACACACACCATGTACAGATACAAAACACACACACATATATGACACACACCATGTACAGATACAAAACACACACACATGACACACACCATGTACAGATAAAAAACAAAAACACACACACATGACACACACCATGTACAGATACAAAACACACACATATGACACACACCATGTATAGATACAAAACACACACACATGACACACACCATGTATAGATACAAAACACACACACATGACACACACCATGTATAGATACAAAACACACGACACACCATGTACAGATATAAACACACACATGACATATTACATAATCCGGAGTCCGGAAGGCTGACTGTCTGTCATATACCCCTGCACTGTGGTGTACACATCATCTCAGGCCTGTAGAGGGTTCCACAAGCTTCACTCTGCTCCTCCCCCGCCACTTACATCCAGTCTCCTTCTTGATCTCTTCTAACTCCTCGTCCCTCAGCAGTGTGGAAGATCTGGAACCCATCGCGATCCCCCGGCACTTCCTGACCACAAATCTGTCTTCTCTACAACACTGACAAGCTGAACCTGTATTATTTAGCCAGAGGGCGTGTCTAGTGACGCGATTGGTCAAGCACGCCCACAACACGCCCAGTGGCCTCTAATCGGCTTCGGTTATTTGTGATAACCCCGCCCGCACTGCAGGCCACGCCTATAGCACCCATCGCCTTTTAAAGGGGACTCCGCCTGCACGTTCTACGCATGTATATGTCTTGTTTTTTTTTTTTTACACAGCTTTATTTAAAACATAACTTCTGGATCGATTGTGATCTGGTTGGTGACAACGTTAAAGGGACACAGCTTGAAATTAAAGGCTACTTTAAAAATAGTACTAAATCCTCAGTTTTTCTTCTTCAGATACATTCCGCTTGCCCTAATCATTTTTTCCTAGAATGCCCCTAAAAACTTACATTTACTTCATGTGAATGGTGCAGCCTTCAGTGTCCTCTGTGCAGCTTCCAGGAACTTCCTGTTGGCGAGTGTGCAATGTGATGCCCTCCTCAGGGCTACATTCCTTTCATCATCACGCATGTGCACTGGGACCATCGTCACCTCATTGCTATTCCTCTAGGCTGCCTGTAGATGTACAGCCAAGGCAGCAGCGGCAGGCATACTGGGCGTGCACACACAAGGGTGACTCCGAGGGGTGACAGAACAGAAACAGAAATCAAGGCCAGAGATGGGGGATGATGGTGAAACGAGGAGACGGAAATTAAGAAGCTTCATAAAAAAAGAGCACACAATATAAGTCTTGTCTTCAGCATCTCAATTAGCAAAAAATCAAATAGGGTTTAATATTATTTTAATACCATGTTCCATGTTACACACATATTTAGTGTATAGGATGGTGCCATTCCGTACTCCCACCACTGACCTAAATCTGCCCACAGGCTTCTGTAAAGTTTTTAGATTAGCGCGCCGGCCCTCACAGCTTCATCCTTCAGTGACAGATCCATTCATATGATATGTGAATGAAAAACCTACAAGTCCTGTCAGCCACCATGGCAGAGGAACTCGTAGTGCTCAATGAAGTAGCAAGGCAGTTGCAGATGTCACCACACTTGTAGTCCATTAAATACTTCTTCCACCTCCACAGACATCTCAACTCTTCCAGATGTTCCGGGAGTCTCCCACTATAAGATAGCGGCTGCCTGACACCCGGGAGGGAAACATTTTCTCCCGGAAAGGTTTACTCTGCTTATCTAGCAGAGTAAACCTTTCCCTGTTGGTTGTTTGTTTGTTTTTTTTACATCGGGGCCCCCGGCACTTAAAAATAAATAAATCAAAAAACGGCATAGGAATGCATATCTAGATTGCTATTGGCTATTTCAATTTGCAATAGGAGACTAGCTATTGCAGACGCTCACTGCTGCTGTCAATCAATAGAGGTGGACCTCATCAGGTCCTCCTCTGCTGACTGACAGCAGCAGAGGGCAGGTGCAATTTCCACCTTGCTATTGGCTATTGCAAATAGAAATAGCCACTAGCAATCTAGCTATTCATTCCTATGCTGTTTTTTTTTCCTTTTTATTCTGACGGCAGAAAACAGCAGAAAGCAAGGGAAGCATTAGCTTCTTTGCTGTCTGCCATTATTTTCGGAGAGGTGGGGTTTGACAGAGGGCACCTCCCTGAAATGAGAAGGGCACCTCCCTGAAATGAGAAGGGCACCTCCCTGAAATTACTTATTTCAGGTTGGGATCCCTGCCTCCATCACCACAGGCCTCAACCTGAAAGGAATAGTCCGCAGGAGCTTGGGCATTGCACCTGGTTGCGGGTTTAATGCTTTAAGGGTTTAACTACCATCTACAGGAGAAGAAAAAATAAACAATAAGGTGATCAGCGCCAGTAAGTGTAATGTGGAAATAAGAGCTACCAAGCACTAAGGATATAACTAAATATCTGGACAATGTGAAAAACAATATTGTGCCGAGCTAATAATCATACATATGTAATACATTGAAACATATAAATGAGTCACATATATGAGCCTTCAAACAAATGAGGCATAGAAAATATAATCAGAAGAAGTGACATCAGAAGCTCTGCCCTACGTACGTTACATCAGAAGCTCTGCCCTACCTACGTTACGTCAACGTACGTAGGGCAGAGCTTCTGATGTCACTGCACTGAGCTGAGCCGGACGAACAGGTTTTTTTATCGCTTTGCTGCCATTTGCCCTGCTGGTCTGATCCAGCAATACCCAATGCCTGTACTGTTTACACCATTGTGAGTACGCATTTTTTATTTAATAAATTGCATTTTATTGGACGTTACGCACTATGTCCTTGTCCTTTTTCTCTTTCCACCTGGATTTATGCTGGTACCTGTGATCTGAGGAGACCTTATCGCCTTTTCTGTGCATGGGCTTCCCTCCCCCATTAAGAAGGGAAAAAGCGCATTTGACCTAGCTCTGTGGGTCTACCTCCCCAGGTGAGCACTCACTTGATGTCATCACTCACTGGGTGGAGGTGAAGGTCTGCCTGCATTGTTTGATTATCCTTACCTGAGAGTTATATGCAGATTGGCTGCAAATCATCTGAGAATTTTTTTTTGCACAATCACCATTGTTTGCTTTTGTTTTTTCCTTGGGACTTTTTTTTGTCTATATTGCTTTTTTGTCTTTGTGTAGATATTTTCTATGCCTCATTTGTTTGAAGGCTCATTACAGGAGAAGTAAACTGGCAGCCAGACCCAAGGGGCTATAACCCTCTCCCGTACACTTTCTGCTTAGTTTCGTGTAGTGTCCCCAGAGACAATGGATGTAAAACTCAAGTCCGCTTTGCTCTGTTCATCATTTTCGGGTAAAAAATTGTCAGGAGGATTATCTCAGCAGACAATGCTTGGGTACTAGAGCATGGTCCCTCCATCTGGATGGGTTTCAGTAGATCTGCCTGTGTTAGGCGATACTTGACGTAGATCTCCTAACGTCCTGGTTGAACAAGAAGATGGACAGGTTTGTTTCCAGAACTTGGAACCTGACAGCGGCATCAATGGTTGCCTTTGTAGTGTGGGACCAGTTTGCTCTGATCTATGCCTTTGCGCCTCCGAAATGCTTCATAGGCTCAGAGGGGCGGGCTTGCGATGATCGCAAGTACAATCTGCCTGTCCAAGATGGGCAGATCGTACTTTACAACCCTTGCAAGACAAAAGTCTTGCGAGGGTTGTAAAGTGTATGGCCACCTTTACTAAGGGGAATTCCTTTGGACTATCTCTCCAGAAAAGTTGCCTTCCTAGTAGCTATTATGTGGGCTTGGAAGGTGTCAGAATTGACATCCTTTGTGTGCAAACAGCCTCATCTGATCTTATACATGGACAAGTTTGTTTTTTTGCAACCACAGCTTCCTTTCTAACCAAAGGTGATCTCCTCTGTGTTCTTTGTGTCTGACCCCAGTCCATCCAAAAGAAAATTGCCGTCCAATGCCAAGAAGTATGTGAAGGGCTGTTCGTGTATCCCCTAAAGTCAAAGATCCCTTCCGGCAGTTGGATTCCTTGTTTGCTATTCCCAAAGGTCCAAAGCGGGCTGTTTTCTTCCTTTCCACTTGTTCCACATGGATTTGGCGTGTCATTGTGGCCCAGGAGTTAAGGGTCAGGGGCATAACTAGAAATCCCAGGGCCCCATAGCAACATTTTGTAAGCCACCCCCCCCAACCCCCCAACGAAACCCCCCATCCCCATTTTAATAGAAATGTGCTGATCAGCACGTTTTTGAGCGTTATTAATTGCGTTTCAGCGCTGAAACGGGACTAAAAACAGCAAAAAATGCTCTTTCAAAAATTGTTCGGAAACCACGGTGAAACGCTTCCGCCCTGGTGTGAATGGCGCCTGAATGAGGCCTAACACTTTATTTGAATCCTGCCACACCAATGAGAGGCTGAGGAAAGGGGGATTATAACAAAAATGAAGGAACGCTAAACTGAAAATAAGCGATTTATGTTATAAATGGTTTTGGTGTTTGTGTTGTGATAAAATGATACAGGCGTATATTTAATTACAACACAAGGTATCACAGCGAACGGCAATGCGTCACAAAGCTTTGTCATGCGCTGCATCAGTTAAATTCATGTTTTTTATGAAAGAAAAAAATCATTCCTGCTGCCCCAAGGCCAGGCCTTGGTTGGTCTTGTGGGAAATCCAGCCCTGACAATAGGCATTGGATGCTTACTTTGACAACTAGTTTCAGGAAGTCCACATGTTTAACTTTACCTATTATAGTCACAAATGCATGTAAATGGTATATGTTGCAATACAATGGTAATGCCGATTCCTGAGCCAACTGCAAATCAGCTAACTGGATTAGGCAGGATGTGCTTTATCTAGCAATTTCCTCTAATTTGTTTATTCCTCCTCAGTCAACACTTTTATCTTGAACTAACTTTGTTCACTACAGTAACCAAGATGGTTACCTATTGAATTTTAACAAAACCGTATTTTCTGAATGGTCCTTATAAACAAAGAAATCCAATGTGCTGCTGACTGAAAACATGCTAGAAGTAGAAATAGTACACTGAATATCCATATAACCATTACCATATAAATTAACTAAAGCCAGAAATTGTCACAAACTGGAAACACAGCCAAATGTACACTGCGATTGTGCTGGACACGTACGTGTACAGTGTGACTGTTTTCCTGGTTTTGTTTTCCACAAACCTCTGCCATGACATGTGTCCCCCTTCCCTGCCTGCCATTCTCCAATCTCTGGACACACTGAATATGCAAGCCCTCAGAACTGAGCACTTCTGGGTTGAGAGCTTCAGTGAGTCGGCGCTCTGAGTCAGCTTAGAGACAGATTAAAGACTCTGTCCCTGGCCGATATCTGATGGACAGATTGAAGACTCTGTCCCTGGCCGATATCTGATGGACAGATTGAAGACTCTGTCCCTGGCCGATATCTGATGGACAGATTGAAGACTCTGTCCCTGGCCTTTATCTGATGGCCACTGTACAGGAAATAAGGATTACAATAAAAAATACACCAATAAAATAGGGTTTTATTTCCCCTTTCCTCCCGCAGTTCAGCCTTATTTTCCCATCATGTGTTATATATCCTGTCTAAA